CTATAGTATGACTTTTTTTTTTTTGAAGTTAGGTTTTTGGCCTTTGTTCAAAGTTAATGATGACGCATGGAAAGGCAAAAAATTTAGCCTAATTTCTATATTGCAAATATTTTTCCCTCCCTGCTTAAAAATGAGTTAAATGAACTTAATCTTATGACTTTTAATGTGTAAAATCAGCTGAGTTAACCAATTCAACAAGCTTCAGACATGAAAATCATCACAGACTTACGTTCCTTTTACATTTTCTCACATTAATGAGATCTTTATTTGACATTAGGAACCTTCAGTTGTAAGTGTTAAAACCATTTTATAAAACATTTGAGGCTTCTTCATTTATAGAAGTGAACCTTCGTAAGAGTTTTCAACCCCGACAGAAAAGTCTGCAAGCGTTCCAGTTTTGTTTCCTCAAAAACTCTCCACATTAAATCAACTCTAAGGCCTCAAATCAGACAACTCGTGTTTGTCTGTTTTAAAATCAGCGAAAAATAAAAGCTGACTTGACATGAAGTTCACAAAACTTGAAGATTTGGTGCTATGAAACCATCACAACAGATAAAACAACAATTTTACGGTTCAATAAATACACAACAAAACACAGCACAGAGTCAACTCATTCTAACAAAATCAGACACTTAAAATACAAAGACAGCATAAATCCCTGCTTTACACAATATATGAAAAAGATATTTACAGCTTTTTATCAAACACCAGCAAACACACAAACACAGACGCACATCTCTTTGGTCATAAGAAGCAGAGGGGTCCCAGAACCACGGAGACCTCAGAGACCAGGTTGGAAACGCTGCTCGTCTTTACAGCCAGATCTCTGACAGGAAGCAGCTCCATGTCGCCTCGATGCAACTCTGTGCTTCCCCGAACCCTCACAATCACATCCACCTGGAAAAGCAAACACAAAGAGGACATGTTCAGTTAGTTGCCCCTGTTTGTGTAATATCCGGTAACTGGACCCTTTTATGGCAGCACATGGCAATAAAAGTCTTTTACTGCAATCAATCGTAAAGCTCCTGTTTATTACTTAAATCTTGTTTGTTCCCATATAGTATTTGGTAATTTAGTTGGTAACAATCAATACTTAGACTATGCTTAAGTCATTCGTTCATTCATATCGTTTGGAAATTGGTATCTTCAGTGAGAAAAGGATTTAATCTGTGCACACAGTATCTATGAAAAGTTCCCTTGGTAGTTTTTCTCTGTACTTGTTTTTCAGCTTTGAATCTTGGTCACTTTAATTTTGCCATTTTTGCACTCCAGAAGATTCATCTTGTCTTTAAACTATTCCTGTGTAGCTCTGGCTGTTTGCTTCGGCTCATTGTCTCACTGGAAAACAAATCTTGTCCTAACTTTATGGTCTCTAGCAGACTGCATCACATTGTTCTCCAGGATTTCTCTATATTTGGCTTCACATCATGATGCTGCCACGTTCATGCTTCACATCATGATGCTGCCACCTCCTTGTTTCACAGTGAGTACAGTGTATTTGTAATGATGTGAAGTGTTTGGTGTCCACTAAACATAGCGTCTATGCGAACGTCCAAAAAGCTCAATTTTGACTTCAGAGTCGCCCATATGTCTTCTAGTGAACTCTAGTCCAAATTTCATATGAGCTTTCTTTCAACTTCCTCTTAGCCCCTTTGCCATTAAGCTTTGACTGGTGAAGAACAGACAACAGTTATTGAAGCCACAGTGTCTCTGATCTCTTGACCATGATTGAATGTTGAAAAGCAACAAAAATGGAAACCTTGCAAGCAGGATGAATCCTTCTTATAGACATTGTAAATGCAACATGTGTACAGTAGCTGCAAATTAGATGCTTTCTTGTTTTTGAGATGCCTTTAGCACATAGCTATAATGTTAATCTTATTACAGTTAAAGACAACTGATGAAAAACTTTTTTTTTTCTTACCTCACAGTCTTTTCTGGACACTGTGATGAGCTGTGAATCGATTTCTTCGCCAGAGTCTCCCATCAGGTGGATAATCCGACCGGCTGTGGCAGCGCTGGACCGGTTTGCTGCACAGCTGAGAGTGATGCGCTGGAAGGATGTGTGGCTGTGTAACCGCAGAAACCTCAGCTGGACAACATCCACCCCAGTGTACTCAAACTGTCAGACACAGTAACACAGTGAGAAGGTCAAGTAATGAATGCTCCTCAGCCAATCAACAGATCATTTAACGTGCTGATTAGACTTACCTTGTTTCCACCATTTTGCTGAGTAGACCAGAACTTTGACGCCTCCATTTCTGGTTCCCTCATTATTTTAATCTAAAGAACAGAATATAATTCATATTTTTGATAAACATATATAATATTTGTTATTACATTTTCCAGAAAAGTAAAGCCCTTCTTTTCCTGGAGTTATTTAGGTTAAAAGGTCACACTGCCTTTGCCTCGGTGCTGTAAAGACCAAATTCATACTTTCTACATCTGTTTCCAGTTCTATTTGTACTCTAATATGTACATGCTGCTTTGTTAAATGGAAAGTTTTAATTTCCCCTCATATGGAAAACACACTGGGATCTAGCAACTGGTCAAAGGTTTCACTGTGGCACCATATCAGTGATTATTTCTGAGGTGTACCAATCACAGTGGGTAAACACGGCACAGAAATGAGGATTTCCTGCTTTGTTTGGTCTCCGCTGATGGAATGCATGTACAAATCAAAGCTCCACCAAAGTCGAGCTGATACTACTTCAGTTACAACTCTTCCAAATGATAAATTCTAAAGGTGTGGACGGTGATTAACAGTCTTTCCTCATAGCAAACGTTTGGTTTAAAAACCACTTGTTTTGGCTCATCTGGCACCTGGAAAGTCGACACACTCGTGCAGACTGTCCTTTCAATGGCAAGCTTTAGGCTGCAAATGGACTTCTGCAGAGGGGTTCACATGGGTAGATGACAAAAGTCATGTTTATCCTTGCAGACTTGGACAGCATGAATTGGCCTGTTTTCTCGTTTCCACTCTCAGACAGACAACTACCCTGAACAAGTTACTCAAGACCTACAGGCCATCCTAAGGTGTGGAACCACCACCAAACCTAATCTTGGAGCCTCTTGAATCTTCTCTGGCTCATCAACCACCACTGTTACTCGCCTAGGAAAGTGAGAGAGGAGTTCCCTAAGTCCAAACGCACCCCTACCACTGTCATAATCATAACAAAGTTGGCCTACTTTGTTCTGCCAGCTGCAACTGACGAATCGCTGACTGTGACTGGACTAGGTCAGTAAATTTGTCTTTCTTCCTCAAAGATCCTTTTAAAATACTAATTCAAAGAACTACCTCCTCGGACCATCTGAGGTGGAACAAAGTCTGTTTGCCGTCAGACTCAAATTACTTTGAGACTTTCGGATGTGCACATCGTAACAGGGGCCTTCGGTACCTTGTGGACCGGGAAGGGTTTGGTCCTGCAGAAGGATCCTGGGTCCTTCGTTCTTTTATTATGTATAGTCTCATCTGGATATTCTTCTGTGGTCAACAGCAGGTTCCTCTGAGGAGTCAGTTTTGCCTCCTTTGAGTTTTCTGACTTTCTGCCTCAGCTTGACGGCCTCTTACCAACCTGCTCGTCTCACCTTGTTACCCTCTGCCACCCATCCAGCTTCGTCTCGTCCTTATCAGACGTCATGTTCAGCTCTTCAAACAACCCGCTCAGCCGCTACACACCATCACCAATCCTTCTATTGGTAATAAAACTACTTTCTGAACCGCCACCATTGTGTTGCTTTCTGCCTCCGGCTCACAAATGTAACGCCGGCACATAACATCTCTGAGTATAAAGACTCGTGTATGCTTCTTCGTCTACTGGAAGTCCTCTGAGAAATCAATTAAAACTGTAAACACTGGTGTCTTTAACAGATTGCAAAACATTGTCCTGGGAAGCGGAGGCAACCTCAGTGGACATCTGGTGTTACATAGGGTCTCACAAAAGTATACAGAACTGTAAAACCATGGGGTCGCATCTCCTGACAGGAAGCTGAACTGATTCTATGTTCTGTAATTGGACTGTACCGTGATGGGAAGCGACCCACAGCTCACATGAATGTTGGTGAAGACGGTTTTACCTGTGAGTGTAGCGGGTCTATGCAGGTTGTTCCTCCTGCAGTGAAGTTACAGAAGACCTTCACAGCGTCATAGGGGCAGCCTTGGTTGGGGTCCATGTAAAAGTAACCTGAAACACAACGGACTTGGACACGGATTCGGCACAAAGTGTGTCATCAGAAGCAGCCACGAGCCCAATGAGATACCCACCATCATTCAGATGTGGACGTACGAGTCTCAGCTCGTGGCAGGTGGTGCCGGGATCATCTCTGGTTCCTGAGGGCCAACTGAAGGATTCCTCAGCTTCATCTTCTTCAGACAGTCTCCTCGATAGCGTCCTGGGCTGCTACAGAGGGATCCATCATTCAGTCAGACAACCCAGAAACACTCCCTGAAGATAAACAAGCAAGTATGTTTGAAGGAATCTTGTACCAACTTTTCGCTTCAGGACGACGGGAGTTTTCTCTGAACTCTGTGCAGCTTTCAGACTGTTTCTTGCACTGGGTCTCGTTTCGGGCCTTTGCTCAACTCTTAGACCAGGTCCTCGTGCAGGTATTGATCCGAGTCTTGGTGCAGGTCCTGGTTTTCCCTGTCAGAGCAACAACAGGAGATAAATCTTTATGTTATTTTGAAGCTGTAATCAAAGTTCTCATGGATCTCGATCAGGTCTTACCGGAGCTCCACGCTTCCCCTTGACTCCCTTTGGTCCTCTGCTGCCTCGGGCACCTTTCAGTCCCTGTAAAGGCCCAAACAGTGAATGACTAAGAATGAATGAGGATTTATAAAGATTAAAATCTCTTTTGTAAAGGTAGGGCTGACAACAGAGGCTCAAAGCTAACCACAGGATTAAGATAAAGAAAACAAAACCCGTCTAAGGAGCAGCAGCTGAGCTACACGTCTTCTTATGGGGGCAGAACTGGGCATAAAAATAAATGTGGCAATAAAAACAAATCCTGAACTAAAAAAAAGGAAACACTGGACTTAAAATATTTGTATTTGAACAAAAAGTTCCACTAAAAAATTAAACACAGATATTAAAATGTCCTTTTATTTCGATGATTTTTTTGTATTTTAACGTTTCAGTGACATTTTTCTGATTTTTTCTTCATCCTGTCTGTCTCCAGTGATGTTTTCAGGTTTCAGTCTTGACTTTGTTGTTTTGGTTTGGACAGGAAGGTTCGAGGGGAGCGGCAAGGAGTGCAGGATTTACATGTCATTTGCAAACACCAGCTAGTCTCCGCTGTTTGATCCTGATGTAAATAATGTGCTTTACTGACGACATAAACAAACATATTCGGCCTCTTACCTTCTTTCCAAGGCGGCCCTGCAACAAAAAAAGAACAATTACAAACAAGCAAACAAGTTTTCTGTCACATCTTGAACATCTGTCCAGCATATGAAGCTTTCTCATGAATGAAACCACAAAGTCCTGTTTATTTTAATTAACTTTTATAATTAGTGAATTTTAAATAAACATACAGTAATTCCAAGGAGGCCTTTCTGTCCACGTGGACCTCGAGGTCCGGCGTCCCCCTGTGGAAATCATTCAGCTCATTAATTACTCATAGGCTGTTTTTAAAAACAACACCAACACGACAACAAAACAACAATTACCTGCTTCCCTTTTGGACCTGTTTGACCTTTTAGTCCCTGCAAACCAGGATTCCCCTAAAACAAAAGGCAGAGTCGACACAAATCAACACAAAATGATGCTTTGAGTTTAAATTGTTTCACGATTAATTATTCATTTTAACCAACTTTTAGTCCTGGTGGCCCGATCGGTCCCAGTACCCCCCCGTCACCCGGGAGACCCTGAATGTAAACAAACACACAACTTTTAAAGTGTAATTTTAAGACTTTAAATTCATGATTTCTGTGTGATTTCTGCACATTCGTCAGGAATTAAAGTAAAGATCCCATAAATAACTGTGGAACTGACATTTGTCTAAGTTCTCTATTGTGCACAGCAAGTACACTTTGGCCAACAATAAGAAAAACGTGTATAATTATGAAACAAAACACATTTTATATGTTTAAAAAAGTAATTATCTGTAAAACGAGGAGATGCAGTGCCATGTATGTTGTAAAAAAAAAAAGTGTTTTTACCAATTTTAACTGTAAAGTTTTGAACAATTTACTGTTATTTTACAGATTTCAACTGTTTTGGATGGATAATAACTGGCAAAATAGCAGAAAAAAAAGTTTTCATTACATGTTTACTATAAAAAAAAAAAAGAGGCCAAAACTGTAAATAACTTCCACATCAAAAAGAAGTATTTTTACAAATGATAATTAGTTCTTTTTCAGTGTTTAATCATAAATTTACACTATTTTTATTACGTTTAAATCAGCAAAAAAATATTGTTTTACAGATATTTGCAGTCATTTGAAATAAAATTACGTTAAGGAATTGCAAATAATCCTATAAACTGGTAAAATAAAGATAACGTCGAGTAAAATCACTGAGGAAAAAAAAGTAATTTACGTGTTGACTGTAAAAAATAAGCCAAATAACGCAGTTTTAAAACATTTAAATGAGATAAAAACGTGATTATTTTACAGATATTTGCTGTTTCTTTCACCATTTTCACAGTTTTCTAACATTACAGCATTCCTCTATTTTTTAACATATTTTTTCTGGCAGATTTTTTACATTTTTGCAGCTGGTTTATGTATTTTTTTACAGTGTACGTGAGACTTTACCTTCGTTCCAGCTCTTCCAGATCCGCCCTTCTCTCCTCTCAGCCCTGGAACACCCTGAATCAACACCAGCGATGATGCAAACAGTCACATAATCAGTCAAACACACGACTAATGATCATATTCTGCTGGTAAATAAACGACTGTACTTTTGGTCCAGCTGGTCCCGGAGGTCCGTGTTTTCCTTTTGGTCCAGTTTTACCCTGAAAGGTGCAAAATCATCGGGTTTGATGACACAGTTCACTCAGTATTTAACTGAATAACCTGATACTTGGTACCTTAAAGCCTCCTGCTCCGGTGTTTCCTCTGATTCCAGGAGACCCGAGGTTTCCCTACAGAACATGATGTATTCAGAACCACGTACTGCGGCTGGAGAACTGAAACAGATGCTTCTATGGGGGAGCATTGTCCTGTGATTATGGTGCAGGGCTGCTTGTTTTTTAACTTACCGTCTTCCCCGGCCGGCCTGGTGCTCCCGGAGCTCCTCTGAAACCAACGTCGCCCTTTGAGACGAGCAGAGAAGGAGTTTAATTGATGAAACAAAGCTAAAGAAACATATGAAACTTCAGGACAGTGAGCTTCTCCTACCTGGTCTCCTTCGTTACCTTCGACCCCCAGCAGCCCGTCCAGACCGCTCAGACCCTGAGAACAAGATCACACGACCAGAAAACAGTCATCGACTCAGAATGTGGATTAAAGCTTTGCCTGATATTTCAGAGTAATATCTGTGTTTCGTCCGTTAATAGGGATACTTGCGGGTTTTCCAGGCGGCCCAGTGGGTCCGGGCCTCCCCATCGGGCCTTCAGCTCCCTACAAAGACGAATGAGCTCACAATTTATTTTAAGTTCATTCAGCTAGGAGGTTCCTCTGCTGCCTTAAAAATGTGATTATTATCAGTTCAAAGTCACCTATGAGCTCTAAAGGTGTGACATTAGCTGACGTTGATTGATTTAACTCGATAAAACAAATTTAAAATCTTAAAATATCAAAGTCAAGGTTGCAGACAGGCTTGTTTTCCTTTAATATTTAAGCTAAACTCTTAATTCTTCATTTAAGATTGAGAATTTTTGACCAGAGTCAGCACCAAGACAATCTGTGAGCTACATTAAAAGTGTGTAGAGTGTAGGAGCGGAACTTGTTTTTGTCACAGTTTTACAAAAAAAGAAAAAACAGGTGTGTTTTGTGAATTTTAAATCTGCAGCAATGCATCCTGGGAAGTCATCATTCAACATCAACATGCCTCAAGTGGTCTGAAAATTAAAAGCTTTGACATTTTAGACTTAATAAACTAGAAATTTATACATTTATATAAAGAAAACTAGAAAAAAATGAGTTGATTTGACTGATTTTTTACAGTGCAGGTCAGACTGTTCAATCAGAGGAAACATTTCATTACGTTTTACAGGCTATTAAATCATCTGTCTGTGGTTTTGCAACACCAAAAGTGTTAAAGACGGTTATTTATATGTGTGACAGATGCAGTATTTTATGCAGATAAGTTAAATAAACCGTCACTTTTAAATTCCTTTTTTAAAAGCTCATCATGAGTTCTGATCTGGAAAAACAAACTTTAGTTCTAAGACCACAGATTTTCTCTGTAATATTTGCTTTGTGGCTTCTGTATTAGAGCAACAGTTTAATTTAATCACTTTTATTATTATTATTATTATTATTTTATTTTATTTTTTTTTAATTATTTTTTTTAATGACAGTTTAAAATAAAACTCACACTTTTCCCGGCAACTCCTTTGGATCCTTTCCTTCCACGCTGGGCTTGTTTTGCCTTAATAAAGAAGACAGTGAAGGAAATTTCCAAATGCTCATAAACTTAAAAAAAAACTAAAGAATTAACAGTCAAGTGACCGCATGCAGCACCAGGCGAGGAAAAAACAAATATATCCCCCAAAATAAAGACTAACACATTAAAAACAAAACCAGCAACACACATCATTAAAAAGAGACTTCAATACATGTTAGAAATTAAATAAGTCATTTAATAATAGTTTAATTAATCAGTAACACATACAGGAAATATTTCAGAAGTTGTGCCTTTTTTATGTAAAACATTTTAATGTTTTAAAAATAAATCTAAATTAGTATTGTATTTATATTAATGATGGGTTTTCATGATATTCTGCATTAGACGTGTAAATATGTATTTTTTAATTGATATTTTTTGTGTAGTTCAAGAATTAAAGAAAAAAGGAAAAGGAAAATTCTTTAAAATTACATTAAAATAAAGATTATTCTAAACTTTACAAACATGTTTGTGAGTTTGGTTGCCTGATAATATCAGTAAAATGTCTTTTTATTTGACAAACAATAAACAAACAAAATAAATGTATAATAATAGTTTTTCATGATACATCATATCAGGCGTGTCTGTCTTGTTTTAAATTTTAATGATATTTTCATGTAGTTAAAAAAATGCAGAAGAAAATGTGAAAAAAAATGTCTTTTTAATTACATAAAAAATTATATAATTAATTATACTTTATTCATATTATAAAGCTTAGAAAATAGTTCTTACAAACATGGTGGTCAAGTTTATGTCAACAAATAATAATAATAATAATAATTAAAATCTAATGTTTTCATGATCTGCTGCATTAGACGTGTTCATTTCGTCTATTTTAGAAATTTTAATAATATTTCTGGGTGGTTCAGTTTCTTTTTTACAGAAAAAAAGGGAAAGACTGCAACTTTTTTTAGTGTAACAAACTTTAAAAATACAAAAATTAAAAGTTCTAATAAATAAGTAGGACATAGTTTTAAAAATGCTCTGAAAATAACAGAAAGTGAACTTTAGTGTGAAGCAGCTGCAGTTGTTCAACAATTAAATGTTCGTTTTAGATTTAAATTTGTGCAGAAACGATTCCTTCTTCTCACCTCTGGACCCTGAACCCCTTTAGCTCCTGGAGGACCAGGAGGGCCGGCGGGTCCAGGTCGACCTTTAGAACCCGGAGAACCGACAGAACCTTTCCTCCCCTCTGTGCCCTGAAAACACAGCGAAAGCGTTCTGACATTAAACTAAGAGTTTAAACGTCTGACCCTTTAATACCACGTACGGATCAGATTTACAGGCTGAAGGTTAAAACATGGCGTCTTACTCTTGTTCCTGGTGTCCCGGACTCTCCTTTGGCACCTCTCTGACCTCTGATGCCCTTTAAAACAGGTTGAACCACATTCTCAGACGCTTCGTTAAAAACAAGCACACGATGAAGCAGAAGATAAAATCTCACCGCGTCGCCTTTAACGCCTCGACGGCCCGACGTTCCCTTCTCACCGCCGCCGCCCTGAATGACAGAAACACGGCAGAGACACGAGCAGGAAGAAGTAAACCTCAGTGAACACAGAGAGACTATCAGAATGAATGAATGAATGAATGAATGAATGAATGGATGGATGGATGGATGAATGAATAGATGGATGGTACATTACACCTTTGGTCCAGGGATTCCAGATTTGCCCTCAGAGCCTCTCCTTCCTATCAAACCCTGAAACAACACATGGAGTTGTGTATTTTTAGGAACATGAAGCTCTAATGAAGCAACAAAACAAAACGTTTTGCTAATCAGGCGTTAAGTCGAGTGTTTTCTGTGAGTTTTACAGTTTTCAACAGCCAAAATATGAATATCAGTCTTTTTGAGTTACGACGACATCCAATGAAATAATGTTTAACTAATAAACTACACTGAGTCGGAGGAATTCACTTTTTTTCTGCAATCAAATGTATTTTAATGAACTGTCAAAAGCTAAATTGACTTGAATTTAGTTTTAAATTAACTAAATGTAAGTTTCAATCCCACACAATATGAAGTTGATGCCATTACCAACATTATTATGTCGACTCAACCCATCAGAACAATGTTACATATAATATATATAATAATAATGCATTTATTTAAATAGTGGGAATATGTCCCTATACACTCTCAGGGACCTAAACTCTGAATTCATTAACATAAATAAAAAAATAGTTAAATAGATAAAAACATTACTTTTTGGGCTGATTTGACGTCATAATTGAACCAATTTGATATTTTGAGTAATTTCAACTCAAATTTCTGCATCAGTTGATTTAAAACTGAATTTAAGTCGATGTAACTTAAAGAAATTCACTTGATAACTAAACGTTCCTTCACCTTGATTTCAGGATTTCAAGCTAATTATCATAAATTTTTTTACCTAACTTATAAACTTGTGTTTATAATTTGTCTGTAATAAGTCCATAATCCTTTTAAAAGGTAGAAACACCAGAAGAACAACCGGATTAGGAGTAATCAACTTAAACAACATGTGTTTATGCCACCAGTCATTAAGTAATTAACTGATTACGGAGGAAAAGCTCATATTCCTCAGTGTTGTTTGAGAGCTGAACATAATTTTAAGTTGTTAGAACTTTAAAACATTTTTTAAAAAAATGCTGCCAACGGTGATTTTAGTTGAGCTCAAACATATTGAACTTTTCTTACAGAGTAGGTGTTATTGTGACAAATATGCTTCCAGGAAAAACCTTAAGTGTATTTTTTCTCATGAGTAGCTGAATAGTTGTAAATATATTAATGTGAAGTCAAACCAGACGTACTGATGGTGACGGTCCAGTTGGTCCAGGAGGACCTAAGCTGCCGGGCGGGCCCTGAAACGACAAGAAAATACATTTTTATCGTACTGATTTGTCCAGATCTCATTAAACGATGTGACACACTGAACACATGACTCCAGGACATCAGCTGACCACAGACTGCATCTTCTCTATTTAATAATCAGATCATCTTGCTGTGGTTCTGACCGTTAGTCCTCGGAGCCCCTTCTGTCCGTCGCCTCCTGCAGCCCCGGTGTTGCCTCCTGGTCCGAACCGTCCAGACGAGCCTGATGGACCTCTGGTACCGAGCTCCCCCTGTGGATGCATCATCATCATCATCATCATCATCATCATCATCAGAACCTTTACGGACTCTCGGGTTCAGTCCACATCACTGTTTGTGTTTCTGGGTCACACCTTCAGTCCTGGGACGCCGTGTTTTCCTCGTTCTCCTGGTGAACCTCCGTATCCCTACAAACAGGACGACAGCGCCGAGGGAACACAGTGGTTAAAATATTCAGCTCAATATCCAGTCTGTGTGGATACGACGTGTTTGACGTCATCGGCTGCAACGCTTCTGGATGTCTGGACGCCGTGTCAGAAGAACGATGAGAATAATTCCAGCTGCTGGAGCCCCGATTACTGAATTAATTCTAATTTTCTAGCCGTCATTTTACATGAAATATAAATATATATTTGTTAATGTTTCATAAAAGATATTTATACAATAATTGAATGAAAGAAATACATATTAAGTAGATGTAATTCTAAATTATATATATTTATATATATACAAAAATAGAATTTATATGTCTAATGTAAAATAACTTTAAAAATCTGTATAACTGAGAAAAAAATGTTTACATTTCTTTTTTTTTCAAAAAAATTGAGATTTTTGGACACAGAAAGACAAAAAATTTACAAATTTATCTTAATTTGCAAATGTTTCCTTGTTCCTTCAGATATATTTCTAAAATTAGACACAATTAGTGACGATTAACTGATTAACTTAATTGATAAATCTTTGTTTAATATTTTTCATGTTTATTTTTTTTGTATTTTTTAAATTTTTTACATTAGAAGTGTAAAATTACAGCCTTCATTTGCGATTTTATTTCTATGTTTGTGCAGTTCAAAGATACATATTATTATTAGTATTATTATTTGTTGTTGTTGTTTTTATATGTCACAGATGAAACTGTAGAAATCAGTCCTACATGTTTTCCTGGTGCTCCGGTTGGTCCTTGAGGTCCTCGGTTCCCTCGTTCACCTTCAGCTCCTTTTGCTCCTTTCTGTCCAGCAGGTCCAGGTTTCCCTTTATCGCCCTGAAACATGAGTCAAACTAATCATTTGTAGAGTTTTAAGAGTGTATTTTTTCAAAGATGTTATAATGATCAGAAATAATTCAGCAAAATTAATTTTTAATCCATATTTTTCACTCACAGGTTTGCCTTTTGGGCCGACGGGTCCTTCAGATCCCTTCGATCCAACGGGACCCTGAACACATAAACACTGAGTTACACCTGATAACAGTCAAACCTCAGTGTTAACATCAGCAGATCTGATCGTGTTGTGTTTTCTCTGTCAGATGTTTTATCACCTTTGCTGTCTGTTAAATGGAAAATTAAAAAACCAACGCAGTCTAATCGATCTACCTCCTCACCATCGAGACCAGCGACTCCCTCCGGTCCCGGAGCTCCTCTGGACCCCTGAACACACCACATGCCAACACAAACAGAACCGATGGAGATTATCCACATTACTGCACCGCTACGCTCCGTTTTCTGGCCAAGTTTAGAAAAAGTGAAGAAACTTCTCAGTAGAAGAACAGCTTCACCTTCTCTCCTTTGACACCAGCGGCTCCGTTTGGTCCTTGAGTTCCGTCTTTACCCTAAATGTGGAGAAAATAGAGCAGCAACGAATATCATCCTGCAGAGATTTAACGAGCATGTGTCGTGAAAAAGTCTGCTGGTGCATTTAAATGAGCTTTTTGCTGTGTTTGCATCTAAAGTCTGCTTGTTTTTGTCATCATTTGGCTGCAAAATAGTGAATAAATAACGAAATAGTCTGTAAATACAGAAAAAAAATTACATTCATGATTAGTTCTACAATAAAAATGTAAAGTTAATGCTGCAAACACAAGAATTAAAAATTAAGCTGAGATGCTGCAATGGTTCAAAACAGTTTAGAATTTTTTTTTTTTTTTTAAGAATTACACTTTTTAAACTTTTGATGTTAAACTAAGAAAGCTGAAATGTGCAAAAACTACGAAAAACATCTATAATATGTAAGAATATGTGTATTTATGTCATTAGCAATTAAACAGACAGCTCTATAGATCTGCTACTGCAAGTTTATTTGTATAAAACATTTTGTTTTCATTACAGTTTGTTTATTTTGAGACAGTTCTACCAAAAATGACTGAAAATCAATTCAGACAAAATCAATAATATCTAATGTATCCTCTAAGACAGACACTGAAATACACTGACGACATATGTGACATGTTGATCAGAAATCCTGAAGGTTCCTGTTACTATCTACAAGCTACAACCAGCTCAGGTTGTTTAAAACAACAAACTATGACGCCACCACTATGCAGACGACACCCAACTCTACATCAGAGGACTGTAATCCGATTACAAGTGCTCAGTAGCTGCGTTGAGCAAATCAACGATTAGATGTGTCTGAATTTTCTTCAGTTAAACAAAGACAAAACTGAAAAAGTTGTTTCTGGAGCCAAGAATTAAAATCCAGCTTCGGTCTGTGATGTTAAAAACCTCAAACCAGGCTGGAAGTCTTGAGTCAGACATGAAGTTCAACAGCGACACGAAAATAATTACCAGCGAGCCTGAAGCATATGTAAAGAATTAAAGGATTTAAGTCGCAGCAGCTCTTGAACAAGCTCTAAAAAAAACTTGTTCATGGATTTAGATTCAGTCATTTTAACAGCATCTTCACAGGTTTCTGTAAAAAAAATCCGTCCGACACCCGCAGCTGATCCAGAACTCTGCAGCTCGTGGATCAAATCGCCTCCGCTCTGAGCTCTTCACACTGGCTTCCTGTCAGCTAAAGAACTGGTTTTTGATTCCTGCTGTTGGTTTTTCAAGCACAAAATGGTTTTGGGCCAGAATACTCAGGTCAACCGGGGTTAGTTTATTTTCTGTCAAAATGAAACACAACACTGCACATCTGCTGCAGCCCAGCTTTTAAATCAAGACTTTTCTGCATTTAATCGACTTTTTCAATTGTGTTAATTTTGCTTCACGTTCCTCTGACAAAGTGTCTTGGTGAGTTTTTATGTTTTATTTAAAGCACTCTGAATTGTCTTGGTGTTGAAACGTATTATACAAATAAACTTGTCCTGCTGAAGCTTTCAAACAGGACGCAGGACTGTGAAACTTAATAGTACATCGTGTAGCATGTCTGAGTTTCCAAATAAATCCAAATGAAGGGCAGTTTCACGCTGGATCTTCAGACCCGGTGACTCCAGATCTCACTGCGTCTGGTGACTAAACCAGAGAAGGAAATGGTGAAACTGGGAAAACGGGAAGAAAGAAGGTTCCTGTTTTCTCTCCAGATCTGAGTTTGTCACATGAGAAATCAAATGGGTTCATAATGTCCAAATCAGGTTAGCAGACATGCAGCACTTTCAAGGAACCAGTTGTGAAACGTTTGACCTTTCCACAGGCGGATGTTTTAATGTGTGACTTTAGTTCACCGCTGACATTTTGAACAACCGGCTCAGATCGGCGTGACGGCGTGCTGACTCGCTGGCTTCGTTTACTGCTGCAGACCGTCGTTACGTCACAGCAGTGATGCTATCAGCTGTCGTGTTATGAACGTCTTCTTGCACAACACGGAGTGTTCAGGCTCGACGTGGCCCGACAGAACAAAGTGGAAGATCCAGCCGAACACTACAGAAAGCAGGATGTGTGCTTTAATGTTTTTCCTACTTCCTGATCTGTTGGTGTGATTTGCAGGCATGTGGCGACCAAGAACACTGAGCTTGAGTCTGTTTATGCATGAAATCACAGATTATTCACATTTACATGAAAATAATTTGCACAATTTTGTCTCGTTTAAATAATCTTGGAAATAGTTTATTCCTTTGCGATAGCTTGGATTTGCTGCTCTTACTTTTAATTCGACGTGCTTTTTAAAATCTTTTCTTCTTATTTAGTTAATGTTGTTGTTATGCACCAAAGTCAGATTCCTCATATGTGAATAAACTGACAATAAAACAGACTCTGATGAAGCTGGACACCAACAACATGGAACTTTTCACAAACTAAAGATTATGCTTGACAAAAAAACCCCCATAAAGACATACTTACGGGGTAGCCTGTAACTCCACGAGGACCAACTGGTCCCTGCAACCCCTGATCACCTGGAGGACCACGAGGTCCCAGCTCCCCCCATGGTCCACTTTTACCCTGCAGACCCTGCAGGAACAAAACGCATTTGCAAAAACAAAGAAAACCCATTAGATCTTTGACGTAAACCAGTGGCTAAAAATGAACCGCGATGCCCGAAGACCACGAGGCTTTCTGAGAAAAAAGACTCCCATGTAAGGGGTTCAGTGCCATAGAGGGCCAAACCACAAAGAAACCCAAAGTTGAGTGTTTTTTTGACAGAAAAACCCACAACGGTCACAGAAATAACTTGAATCTGACAAAAGTAATAATAAATAAAAATTCTATGAAAATTAGCCAATAAAAATCAGACGTTGCTTTTGAACCGCGGTTTAACAGAATTATTTTAAAAAATAAACTCATGAAACAGGCCTGGACAAAAATGATGGTACCCCTGGAAAAGACTGAAAACAATGAGACCATAGGGACATGTTCAATCAAGGTGTGTCCTCTAATTAGCATCACAGGTGTCTACAAACTTGTAATCAGTCAGTCGGCCCATTTATAGGGTTACAGGTGGTCACTGTGCTGTTTGGTGACATGGTGTGGACCACACTGAACATGGACCAGAGGAAGCCAAGGAGAGAGCTGTCTCAGGAGATTAGAAAGAAAGTGATAGAGCAGCATGTTAAAGGAAAGGCTATCAGACCATCTCCAGGCAGCTGGATGTTCCTGTGACTACAGCTGCACAGATTATTCAGAAGTTTAAGATCCATGGAACTGTAGCCGACCTCCCTGGACGTGGCCGCAGGACGGACAGAGAAGCACATGCACAAAGCATGTTGAATTAAATAGACTGAGTTTTAACACATTTACAATCATGCTTCTTATTCATCTACAAACTCTGTTGACGAAGCTGCTGCACATCAACCACCAGCCCTGCAAACCCTGCCGACCTCTTGAGCCACAGCAACTTCATTTCTGTTCATTGAGAGACTTGTTAAGACAATATTTCAATAATATAAGTTAACCTAACGCATGAGAGAGTAAAGGACTGGAGGTTTGGTAGGAGTATGTCATTAAAAACATCTTACAGGGGGTCCTTTGTATCCCTGTGGTCCAGGCATTCCCATCTCACCCTGGAATAAAAAGGAAAACCGCTCAGAAAACACTTAACAGATAAACAACCACCGTCACACCGTTAACAGAAGATCATTTACTCACCGAGGGGCCTTGTTTTCCTCTTCCTCCTTCCTCCCCTTTCTTACCCTTCACAACAAGGTCAATATCACATTAAATTAATTGATTAATGATTGATTTATGTATAAATCCTGAAAATATGAGGCTTTGAAAATGTCAAACCTTTAATCCTTCACTGGCTGCAGATCCACTGGAGCCTTTATTACCTTCAACCCCCTAAAAAAACACAGTATTTATTTATTTTCAGCATCATTATTGCTCCAAACAAAGATTATTAGTTTGTATTTCATTTTTAAAGCTTTTCACAAGAATGCATTTTGCACCATAAAACATCAGAAAGCAAAAATATGCAAATCAACTCACTTTTTTTTTCTTTTTTACTCCACTTAATGCAAATTGCTAGTTGCTAATTGCTAATTAAACCTAAAATTCTAATCACTTTAGATCTTAAACCCACAAAGTTTTTACAACTTGAGGCATTTTGACTTAAAATAATGAGTTGAATGAATGAACAGCTGAGAGTTCGCTCAACTTTTAAGTCATACGTTTTTAAGAAACAAATAAAAAATAAACATCCATCCATCCATCATCTCTACACCTTCATCCTCACTAGGGTCATGGGGGGCTGGAGTCTGACTCAGGGTGAAGGCAGGTTCACCTGGACAGGTAACCAGTCTATCACAGGGCTACACTTAGAGACAGACAACCAAGCACACTCACATTCACACCTACGGACAATTTAGAATCACCAATTAACCTCAGCATGTTTCTGGACTGTGGGAGGAAGCCGGAGAACCCGGAGAGAACCCACGCTGCACGGGGAGAACATGGAGACTCCACGCAGAAAGAACCGGCGACCTTCTAGCTGCGAGGCAACGATGCTAACCACCGAGCCACCTTGCAGCCCACAATTCTCAATTCTAATAATAATTGAATTCAGCTAGTTTTACACTTTCACAGCTCATAGAGGGTAGGGTTTGGGTTAGGTTAGGTTAGGTTAGGGTTAGCTCATAGATGGCTTTAAACCAGTTCATCAACAGAAGTGCAGTTCACTCACATTTCCAAGGCATCAGGAGAACTTTCCTTGCCTGAATGAACTTAACATAATGAATGAACTCACCTTCTCTCCCGGCTCTCCTGGTGTCCCCTTCATTCCTCTACTGCCAGCTTCTCCCTGGAAATCCACACCTATTATTAACCACCGTCTTCATCTCACGTAGTTCAACAAGCTGCTTCAGAACTTCAGCAGGATGCATGAACAACTGTCGGCCTCTCATCCGACTCCGTTACTCCCACTTGCTCTCTGAATAAATCTTTCTGTGTGAACTCTCCAATGAGAGCTGAAAAACTGCAAGAAACAAGTATAATGAAGACTCACACTCTTCCCCACGGGGCCTTGGAGACCAGGAGATCCTGTCTTTCCTGGAAGTCCCTGTGGGAAACCATCCATTTATGACTCTTTAAGACAAGACAATGTGCTCGTTCTGTGTCACTGTGCAGAGATAGACTCACTCTTGGTCCTGGAGGTCCAGCGTCTCCGTTCACTCCGTTTGCACCGACCGGTCCCTGATAGAACCGTGATATCTGTTAACCACACATCTGCTCCTGCCCTGTTCATCCCTTCATAGGCCCCATTAGAAAACCATTTTCCACATTTACTTTCACATTCTTTATAGCGATAGAAAACCCCTTTCCTCTTGTGAAAGCCAGAGCAGCATTTACATACACAGACAGGTGACAAATTAAAGGAAAAAGTTGATAAACAATCATAAAACATCACAAATGCTGATGCTTCCATACAGGAAGATTCAGATTCAGTTTTAGGGAGAGCGGATTTAGATTTTGTGTCAAGACGAAACGACGGAAAACAGCTCAGCAGCTTTAAAAGAGGGTTTATCGTTGAGGCTCGGATTGCAGGAGCTTCAGTCACAAAGACTTGATTAAATAGTGATTAATTTAAATTTAGATCTGTGTGAAATAGATCAGTAAAAATGGTCAGAAGTTGTAGTCAACAGAGCACATTTCATGCTTGTGCATTAATGTAATGATGTCCAGATCCTGATCCCATGATCGAGGTCGGGTCCGATCAGGAAATTATCAGCTCGTAATTGATTCATTTAAAATGCAACTTTAAGCCACTGACACAGAATGCAGCCCTTCCAGCAGCTGCTTCATGTGTTACTAGACACTGAGACTGGTGTTCTCGTGGAACCAGGGTTGGTTTAGCACATTAGCGCTGCCCCGAGGTCATTAAAAGACTTCGTCATGGTGCTCCTTCATGACCTAACCCTCAGCTCGGCTCTTGGCGTCTCAACACTGAACTACCAACTCTCCTGGTTACTGCAGAACAGGAAGAGGCTCCAGCTGGTGGTGCAACCAGAACAACATAATACTAGAAGTGTGCATCATCTAGGAAGACGGTATGAGGTAGCAGCAGACGCTAAATATTACACGACTCACAGTGGAGTGGGAACGATGTCGTGACGGGTAAGGAGACTCGTCCACAGGTGACTGAGAATATCAAAAACACATCGACAGGAGGTTTGGACCGACATGTTGAACATCACCACCATCATTAAAACGCAAAATAAAGGAGTGTAGAGTAGAGTAGCGTCCATCCCTCTAGTAGAGCTCTAGAACCAATCAGTGAGGTGAACTGAAACTGTTCTGGCAGCAACTTTTTCCTTCAACTTGACGCACATCTACATATGGAGCTTTGGTGTTCCATGGTTGCACAAAGTCAGACATATGAAAGTAGGAATATATCGTTGGTTGGTCTTACCGAGACTCCAAGAGAACCGTCCTGTCCTCTGTTACCCGAATCACCTTGAAATCCCTAAAATGAGACAAGTTCTATCAGTCACTGGAGCTAAAGGTCACATGATGTTTGTTGGGTAATATTTTACAGAAACAATCCTCTTGGTGTTGTCCTCTCTGGTGAAATTAGAGTCGATATGGCAGTTTTCAAGGACACATCATGATTTTATTGAAGTGTGATCACCTTTAAACCTTTAGGTCCAGTCGCCCCGGGGCCTCCGCTCACTCCCTACACAAACAGTTTACACAGATAAAAACAGGAACCCGTCATTAGCGGTGATATTTTGTTATTTAATGTAATTAAATTCATACGGTTTTATAAATGGCTAATAGTATGTTTGATTTCTTTAAGTCAAAAGTAAATTGTTTTATAAAAGTCCTGGGAGGAAAATAGGAGTTAAAATAACTTAAGTCACATTAGAACAGGATAAGAAGTGTAGCCACATAGGAACCTTAATACCAGGTTCTCCTTCAGGTCCTCGCTCTCCAGACTTCCCCATCTCTCCCTGCAAGCAGAAACACAACAGATCAGATTCAGCATCAGATTCAGCATCTACATTAAATATGGACTTTGTTTTGTAGGGTCGTAGCTTTAGTTGTAGGTTAGTTAGGTTACTTTACGTAATTAACAATAGTGAAGGGTTTAACTTTAATAATTTATCTAATTCGGATCATTTCCATAATTAATGAAAATGTAGGGATATATCCCAAATATCCCTAAATTTTAAATTATGTTAATTCCATAATTAATTATACTGTCTTAGCCTGAAAATTGGAGTAATTTCTTCTGGAAAGCAGTTGGGCAGGATGTGGCTTTAAAAGTCCTCTGTAAACAACAGTGACTGGACTTAATTAAACACATTCTCCACTCATTTCTACTCACAATGGGACCAGGCAGCCCAGAAAATCCTGCTCGACCTTCTCGACCCTTTGACACAAACATTTACGGTAAATGAGGAGGAACCGTGATTCACTGATAGTTCCACATTTCTGTGTCCTGCTGCTTTTCACTGGAAGTATTTCAAAATCAAATTAATAAAAGAGACAAACAGAATTTAAAAAAAACACACTGACATCTGTGGTCATGAGTAAGCATGAGTAAGTGTAAATATGATCTTATTTATCATATTAGGTTTTAATATATGACACAAATTAAAGTCCCTCCTGATAAAACACTTCCTACACAATATTTTAATGTGCTTTTATTCCAAATAACTAATTCAGTCTGTCTTTGTTCTACCTTGTCGCCTCGAGGTCCAGGACTTCCTTGAGCACCGGTTGGTCCTCGGTCTCCCTACAACCACACACATACAAACAAACCGTATATGTACACATTCACACTAAATGTACTATTTAATAGAAATAATAATAAAAAACTTCCTTAAACCCACCTTGAATCCTTCCTTTCCCTGCCGACCTTGTTCCCCCAGGATGCCGTCAACGCCCTAAAACAACAAAACAGTTTCTGTGGCATCAATCGTGATCATAATATAATAATTATAATATAACAATTTAACCTATTAAGTCTATTTAACTCACGCTGGAACCAGGAAATCCCGTCGGCCCCGTTGGACCCTGAAGCCCCTGAAGCCCAGTTGGGCCTTGACGCCCCTTAAGTCCACGTTTCCCCGAAGGCCCCGGAGGTCCCTGGAACACAACAAGTCAATGAACTGATCGGCTCAATGAACTGATCAATAACCACGTTAGGGGGAAGAACCAGACTCACCAGGTCTCCCTTAAAGCCCGGATCTCCCCTCTCACCTCTCCGGCTTTTGGCTCCCTGATGGAGACGAACAACAGAAAACAGGTTTAGCTCAGCGGGTTGGAACCGGCGGGTCTCTACAGGAATGTGTTCATCGTCCATCGATTCTAAATCAGCAAACATTCAGTCAATAATGGCTTTAAGTAATCTTACGGGATCACCTGAGGGCCCGGGCTTTCCTGGACTCCCATTGGCTCCCTGAAATATGAGTAAGAAGAACATTCAGGCAAGTTCAGTGAATCACAAATGAACATAACGTAGTGCACTAACGGTGCACTGTAAAAAATAAAACTATTAACACAAGATTTACAGGAGTTTTATGTTTATTAAATTTAGTTTTTTTTTTATATTGCATAGAAAAGTCGCAAAAAATTCTAGATATTTTCTGTAAATTAAGCCAAAAGTTATTCATTTATTTATTATTATATATATTATTTTTGAAGGCAAAGAACATTTATTTCATCTTTTAAAAAAATTAAATAAAATGTACTGGATGTTTCATTCTTTAAAAAAAAAAAAAAGTAAACAAAATTACAAAAATATCAGTCTAGAAAAATGTTAAAATAATAAATAAACAAGCAAATAAACACATAAATAAATCAGTTTTACTTGGAAACCTTTGTTTATGTGCAGTTTTACATCAAACTCTGTAATTCTAGACACAAATCATCACAACTCTCAGACTTTTCAGCGGATCGTCTTACGTTGAGTCCGGCCGGTCCAGGTTCTCCGATGTCGCCTTCGTCTCCTGGATCTCCCTGGTTTCACATGAGAAGGACAAACAGCCGACTGGTCATTACAACTCAACGCTATGTTTGGATTTTATTCAGGATTTATTTTAATTAAACTGCACTCACAGGGTCACCTTTAGGACCTGGAGGTCCACCTGGTCCTGGGTCTCCCTGCAGAGAGATGATACAGCACATTTTACTTGTTTGGCATCATTTTCCTGTTGTGTTTACATCCAGCTGCTCTTTAGAAGTTAAAAAAATTGCATGACAAGTAAAAGATGTCATAATATTCTCTCTCAGACAGATAACGGTTCCTAAATGGTTCTTCAGGAGGTTCTCTGGTTCTTTAAAGCACAATGACCAGCTGGAGACCTCTTTGTTTAGGCAACGCTTCTTCTTACTTCATGTGACGTATCAAAGGTTTTTTATTGGAGTTACTTGGTGGCAGGTAAAAGCAGGAAATTAAAGGTCACACCTGATAATTATTTTCATTTTCAGCCGCTGATTAAATCATTGTTTTGGTCGATAAAACAGATCAGAGAACAGTTTCTACATCTGGAAGCTGAAATATTAAAAGTATTATAAATGAAGGAATAGTTTATGTTTAAAGTTCTTTAAATCATCGTGTCTGCAGCTGTCCAATAAATTCAGTGTTTTTAGTTTTGATCCACAAGTTAACTGAAGGTTCTAGAG